ACTATACAGGAATTAAATTAAAAAAAAAAAGTTATTTATCTGCTGCTTCCTTCTCATCACTTGGCCCAAAACTGAAATGTCACCTCCTCCAGCAAGGCCTTTCCCAACTATAACTAAAGTCTCATCACACTGTACTCTAGGACTTGCTTCCACAACAGTTATCAATACCTGAAATTATTTTATTATGGTCTGTCTCCAACTACCAGCACTTCAACTTCTCAGACATAGAGACTCTGTCTGCCACGTCACTCTAGTACTTAACGCAGGGCCTGACAAAGAGTAAAAGCTAAATAAAAATATCTACTAAATAAATGGTTTTTTGGACTGATTACTGAGAAATACTAAGTAAACAAAGATTTATCTACTAAGAGACATAAAAGAACTTACAGACACTTTTACTATATATTACTAAAACATTTAATGGATGCCCAAATCTATTTCACTACTAACGTCATCACGTCCATTATTCAAAATAATGGCGGATGCATGCAAAGATATATTACCCAATAGACTCTGTTCTTTGATGCTAAATACTAGGAATAATTCATTTATTTCAAATTAAATATTAATGATATTTTAATAATGATGTTATTGAGAATCACCAAGAAAATAAAACATAGCAATTTTATTTTCAAAAACATTTCAAATAACTTTTGCTATCAACAAAAAATAGTAAAATCATTATTCAAAATAACTATTAAGTCATTAATAATTTAACTATTTCTTTTAAAATGGAAATTAAGTTTAACACTGTTTATAATTAACTGAATATTAGTTATTATAAATCACAGATATGTCTAGTTCTAAGTAAAAACTATTATTACACCCCATCACTAAAGACATTAACAAACTCTAAGCTAAAATAAGTACTAATACTTTTCAAAGTAATGAAATCAATTAGCACAAATGAAAAATCAAAAAGTGACAGCATGATCCATTTTTCCTACTTTAAGTTAATGAATAAACACTTCACAAATTAACAGTCAATTTGTTAATGTATTTTACCTTAAAGATATCTATTATTTCAACTAATCTTTACTTTTACCTTATTCACTAAATGAGTATTTTTCTTTTGTAAGAGGCTATATACGTCATGGGTGAAAGTAGCTGTCATACAGAATTTGCCACATAGAATTTACATTTATGAGAGTTCTGAGAATTACTAAAAAAGTAAGTATTAAAATATGCTGTTAAAACATTGCTTCATTTCTATAATGTTAGCTATTCCAGAAATGGTAAAAAGGGGAAACTTACATTTTAAATCCAAAATCAAGGTTTGTCATGTACATTTAAAAATTTCATTGATTTTATTAAGAAAGAAGCAACTATTAATAATAATAAGAAGCAACTATTATTATTAAGTAAAACTATTTCTAGAAGTAAAACTATTTAATAAAGCCAAAATGACAATTATATTTATAAAATCTTATGACCATATTGTAAATTATTGCCTTTTTCATATCAACTGTTTCCCATAAAATTACATATAAAAATGTAATAAGGTATTTTTCACCTTGTAAATAACATATTTAGAGACAGAAATGAGTAAATGCTATTAGCATGCAAAAGAATCCTGAAGCAGATGTACTTTTAAAAATGTTTTGAGATTCCTCAAAAAAATTAAAAGTAGAACTACCATACAATCCAGAAATTCCACTTCTGAGTATTTATCTGCACAAGACAAAAACACTAATTTGAAAAGATACATGCACCCCTATGTTCACTGCAGCATTATTTACAATAGCCAGGATATGGAAACAACCCAGGTGTCCACCAATGGATCAGTGGATAAAGAAGACGTAGTATATTTAGACAACAGAGTACTACTACTCAGTCATAAAAAAGAACAAAATCTGGCCATTTGCAAGAACATAAGTGGACCTTGAGGGTAATACATTAAATGAAATAAGCCAAACAAAGAAAGACAAATATCACATGATATCACTTATATGCGGAATCTAAGAAACAAACACACAAAACAAAACAAACACATAGAGAACAGAATGGAGGTTGCGGGGCAGTGGGGAGAAGGAGGCAAAAGGGGTGACAGGGTTCAAGAGATACAAACTTCCAGTTATAAAATAAATAAGTCATGGGAATATAATGTACAGCATAGTGACTATAGTAAAAAATACTGCATTGCATGTTTGAATGTTGCCAAGAGAGTAAATCTTAAAAGTTCTCATGACAAGAATAAAAAATTCTATAACTTCATATGATAACAAATGATCACTAGGCTTATTGTGGTGATCATTTCATGGTGTACACAAATATCTACCAAATCACTATGTTGTTGTTTTTTGGGGTTTTTTTTAAAGATTTATTTATTCATTTGAGAGAGCGAGAATGAGAGAGCGTACATGAGAGGGGGCAGGGTCAGAGGGAGAAGCAGACTCCCCGCCGAGCAGGGAGCCCGATGCGGGACTCGATCCCGGGACTCCTGGATCATGACCTGAGCCGAAGGCAGTCGCTTAACCAACTGAGCCACCCAGGCGCCCCCAAATCACTATGTTGTACACCTGAAACTATTTAATGTTATATGTCATTTATACCTCAATTAAAATAAGTGAATAAATAAGAATGTTTTAATTTCTTAACATAGCTTTAAGAAAACTAGAGTTTCTTATTCAAAGCATATCTACCTCAGTGTTTTAAAAATTCCAATATTAAAAAGTTTCTTTAAAAAATTATTTGTTGATTCAAGTGAACAATTATTAAAGACTAATAAATAATTACATCTTTCTCTAGTGTGCTTTTTTTTAGTAGAGTAAGGGAGGCAAGTCATCAGCACAGAGTAAGTCATACAGCACTGCCTGATTTCCTGCACAAATTTTAAATATAAAATTATAACATGTTAAGACCACTACAGAATCTTTTATAAGAAAACTACTTACGCAAGGATACACAAATAATTTGTACACACAGAAAAACTAGTAGACAGGATAAGGATAGTAGAAAAGGAGAGAGGACAGTGAGAGTGAGGAGGGAGAGGAGGAGCCCGGGAAGAAGAAAGTCTGAGGAAAAAGAAGGGAGAACATGGTGGTTATAGCTGATAATACTGGACTGTATAACTGAAATTTACGAAGACAGAACTTCAATGTTATCTCACACACACACACACACAGTGAGGTGGTGGATGTGTTAATCAACTTGATGAGGAGAATCCTTTTACAATGCATATGTGCATCAAATCATTGTGTACATTTTATTTGTCAGTGACACCTCAATAAGGCTGAAAAAAAAGAAAAAGTAAGGAGAAATGCTAAGCAAATCCAGTAAATAAAAATTTAGATTGAGAAAATTAAGAGGTAGTGATTCATTCTATGCTATGGGATACAATTAAATGCAAAGTTTCATTACATCTAAACCACAGTATTATTTACCTATGAGGATATCCACTCATACCTATTTTTAAGGAATAAATCTATATAGTAAAAGGCTCATTACATAAAACTTGTGAGTTCACCAAGACAAATCTAGTTTTTTTTGTTTTTTTTTTTTTACTTAGGGCATCAATAACATTTACTTCTATATCAATGACAATTGTATCCAAGGGTCAACAATTTACTTCCCCGAAATTCAGCAACATTCAATGGAAAGGATTGTCTAACAACCCAATCACATTTTTTTAAAGAGTCAATTTAGGGCAGTAAATGGGAATATGCAATGAACAAACTAAAGAAGTTATGTAGAAGTGTTCTTCCATATAATTCACTAACAATGGTGGTAGTGAGGAGCTTGCTCCTTCCAAAATCTTGGGGAAAAACCCTAACGTTGTAATGGTCATGGAAAGTTGGGTGTGAGTCTTAAAATAGGGGAACATAATTTTCCTTAATATAACTCTCATGTTCCACATAAAAATTCTTGTAATCCAACCTAGAGAAATCTGCCAAGCACTGTGACTTGCTTCATGAACTGTAGCTCTCAACCCTTTATACTCACATAGGCCAGAAACGGAAAATAACACCACTAATTACATGATGATTTTCAACCCAACCCACTGCGCTGACGAAACGCATGATCACCTTGTGTATAAAGAAATCTATCCTCTAAGTTACATGGTTCAAATAACAATTCACAAAACAATCTACACAACATCAAAGTGCAGTTGGAAGGTGCAAGTAAAGACTACTATCAGCTATAAATCCATAAAAACAGGAACTACTCCACGCAAATCAAGCAAATATAAAGCATCTGAATTAAAAAGACAACTACTATAATAAAAAAAAAATACTTTTAAAAGCCAGGTAAATTTTTCAGTTAAAATCTTCATATAATACTATACACTGAGTATTTTTAATAACTAAAACTATTTTTTTTAAAGATTTTATTTATTTGAGACCGAGAGAATGAGAGACAGAGAGCATGAGAGGGGGGAGGGTCAGAGGGAGAAGCAGACTACCCGCCGAGCAGGGAGCCTGATGCGGGACTCGATCCCGGGACTCCAGGATCATGACCTGAGCCAAAGGCAGTCGCTTAACCAACTGAGCCACCCAGGCGCCCCTAAAACTATTAATAATAGCTTTTAAAACTGCCTAATGGGAGCAAGTGACTAAAGAAGCAGTGAATACCAGAGAAGATTAAGTGAGATCACCTTGTCAAGAGGTCAGTAAAAATAAAAAATTAATAAAATAATTTAAGACGTCAGTAAAATAATTTGGAAAACTATACTTCCTTTAAAATTTTTATACATTTCCAAAAATACTAAATTTTAAGCTTTTGTAAGGGTTCAAAAATTACCCCAAAATGCTGTAGTTAGTAATCATTCTAAAAAAACAACATAAATTGAAATACAATTTAAAGATTTATATGGTATCTTATATAGTAATTTCTTTTTTAAAAAGGCAATAATAATGGATTACAAAATTTGCAAAATTTAATTTTTAACCTGAAAAAAATTACTGTAAAATGATTTTTAATCCATTTGTTAGGAAACCATTACACATTATTATTATTATTTCTTTTTTATCATACCTAGTCATTTGATAGTAGGTGTCTTAGATTATAAATGAGCTAACTTGGGTTTAAATCCAAAAAAAAATCAGTAAAACAAGACAGAAATCTAACTTTTGTTTAGTATTTTAAAATATTTTCTGCATAGTTTCCCCAAACATTCATGAGCATTCTAATTATGACTACGATTTCTTTTCTATCATACCTAGTCATTTGATAGTAGGTGTCTTAGATTATAAATGAGCTAACTTGGGTTTAAATCCAAAAAAATCAGTAAAACAAGACAGAAATCTAACTTTTGTTTAGTATTTTAAAATATTTTCTGCATAGTTTCCCCAAACATTCATGAGCATTCTAATTATGACTACGATTAAAGCTTTTAAGAAGAGTCTAATCCAGGTCAAAAATTAAAAAAAGTATGAAAACAGAAATAACCATTCACGTATCACACATACACACGTATATATAACAAGCTTACTTTTAAATCACAAGTTTAGCTTTTCCTTACAACTTAACACTGGATACAGAACACTCAGAAGTCATAAATAAATAACAAAACAAAATCCCCTCTTCTTGCCAATATGTGAATGCAACTGCAGTAGATTTAAGTTAGATATAAATATATATTACATACATGTCTCTAATACTATATAAGATGTTCGTAAATATTTTCCCAAGAGGGTGGGGGAAATTTAATCTCTGAAAGATTTTGCCACCAAAAGAGATTTAAATAGCCCTAGTTATAAAAATATGTTCTTGAGATTACAGTTGTATTATATTCTATTTCAATTATTTCTATGTGAAAACTTCAAAAACGACTAGTTTATCACAGTCAATAAACCTATTAGATGAATACTGAAAAATCTAAACTTACCCAGAGTGCTTACAAATAAAAATGCATGCTGTGTCAAAATTACATGCACCTCTTTCAAAATTTGGACTACTACCCAAACAATCTTCAGATTCAGTGCAATCCATATCAATATTCCAATGGCATTTTTCATAGATAAAGAACAAACAATCCTGCAATTTATAAGGAGCCATAAAAGACCCCAAAGAGCCAAAGCAAACTCGAGAAAGAAAAACAAAGAGGGAGCCATCACACTCCCTGATTTCAAAGCACATTGCAAAGTTATAGTTACAAAGACAGTATGGTATTGGCATGAAAACACATAAATATACCCATGGAACACACCAGGACCCCAAAATAAACACACACATGCATGATCAATTGATTTATGATTTATGACAAAGGAACCAAGAATATACACTGGGGAATGGACAGTCTCTTCAATAAATGATGTTGGGAAAAGCTACAGTCGCAAGCAAGAGAATGAAACTGGACCACTATTTTATTTTATTTTATTTTATTTATTTTTTTATTTTTTTTAAAGATTTTATTTATTTATGTGAGAGAGAGAGAATGAGAGACAGAGAGCATGAGAGGGAGGAGGGTCAGAGGGAGAAGCAGACTCCCTGCTGAGCAGGGAGCCCGATGCGGGACTCGATCCAGGGACTCCAGGATCATGACCTGAGCCGAAGGCAGTCGCTTAACCAACTGAGCCACCCAGGCGCCCCGGACCACTATTTTATACCACACACAAAAATTAATTCAAAATAGATTAAAAACTTGAATATAAGATGTGAAACCCATAAAACTAGACAAAAAACAAAGGTGGTAAGTTCCTTGACCTCAATCTTAGCAATGATTTTTTTTAATCAGACACCAAAAGCACAAGCAACAAAAGTAAAAATAAACAAGTAGGACTACATCAAACTAAAAAGCTTCTGCACAACAAAGGAAACCATCAACAAATGAAAAGGCAACCTATGGAATGGGAGAAAATATTTGCAAAGCAGATATCAGATAAGGGGTTAATAACAAAAATATACAAGGAACTCATATAATTCAATAGAAAAAAAAACACAATTTGATTTAAAAAATGGGCAAAAAAAACCCCAAAACATGCAGAGGATCTGAATAGACATTTTTCTAAAGACATCCAGATGGCCAACAGGTGCATGAGAAGATGATCACTATCACTCATCATCAGGGAAATACAAATCAAAACCACAAAGAGATATCACCTCATACTTGTCAGAATGGCTAAGTGTCAAAAAAGACAAGAAATAACAAGGGCTGACACGGAAGATGTGGAGAAAAGGGAACCCTCATGCACTGTGGGAGGGAATGCAAAGTAGTGCAGCCACTGTGGAAAACAGTATGGAGGTTCCCCAAAAAGTAAAAAATAGAACTATCATATGAGCTAGTAATTCCATCTCTGGGTATTTAGCCAAAGAAAACAAAAAGACTAACTTGAAAGGATGCACCTCTAAGCTCAGTGCAGCATTATTTACAATAGCCAAGATATGGAAATAACCTAAACAGCCATCAGTGGATGAATAAAGAAAATGTGGTGTATACACACACACACACTGGATTATTATTCAGCCATAAAAAAAAGAATGAGATCTTGCCATTTGTGACAACATGGATGAACCTGGAAGGCTTAACGCTCAGTGAAATGAGTCACAAAGAGAAAGATAAATATCATTTGATATCATTTTTATGCAGAATCTTTAAAAACAACAAAAAACAAAGAAGCTCATAGATACAGAGTATAGACTGGTGGTTGCTGGAGGCAGAGGGTGAATGGTGGGCAAATGGGTGAATGGGGTCAAAAGGAACAAACTACTAAAATAAACAAACTAACATAAATAAGTCATGTGATGTAATATAAAACATGGTGACTATAGTTCATAATTCTGCAAAACTGCAAATATTGCATATTGGAAAGTTGCTAAGAAAGTATATCTTAAAAGTTCTCATTACAAGAAAAATATTTTGTAAATATGTATGGTGAGGGATGTTAACTAGACTGATCATGTGATGATTATTTTGCAATGTATATAAAGACTGAATCATTATGGTGTACACCTGAAACTAATATAATCTTATATTCCAATTATACCTTAATACCAAAAAATTCGGGCAATTAATAAAACACTTAAATCATAAAGCTGAGTTCAAATTCAGTCCCTAAAGAATATATTTAGTTTCCATATTGTTATAGTATCCTATGAAATAAATTAACTCAATCTAAACTACTTGATGATCATTATTTTTGTTACTTATTACAAACTATAAAGTTTATGTTCAAGATTGGTTATTGATGTAAGTGCCCTCAATTAAAGGTCTACACCTAACTATGTATACACATTAATGAAAACAATACTGCCGCAATCAGGTACAATAATTTCTTTCTATTTTATAAAAAAAGAACTTCTAACCTCACTCAACAATTAATCACATTTCAAACAATGGATCTGAAAAAATGTATTAGAGGCACATTTTTTAAAACAAACACACTATGAAACCTTGCTTTTAACGGAGTCAGTGAAATTTTTGTGTTTGTTTGCTTTTTTATGGCTATTTGGTTTACTTCCTTCTTCTGGGCAAGTTTAGTATGCAACTCTCACTCTTTAGCAGTCAAAAACCCACAGATTTAAATTTTCTGAAAACTCAACCTGGTCTTGCCAGCAGAAGACAAAATAACTAGCACCACAAAACAACTGTACTAAATTTTAACACTGTTCATTAACAGTTCCATTCTCCTGAGTTTGCGTTTGTTCTTTGGCATTGGCTTAGGATATAATCCATTTTTCAGAAGGTGTTCCTTGCTGAGGCGAATTTGAGCACCATGCTGAAGCTGGAAAGAGCATAAAGCTTGAAGAGGACGAAGCAAAGTCTGTGAAGATAAAAAAAGATACTAAAATAGTGTAACAAATCATATTGTATCTAGCTTTCTCTTCAGAAACAGGGATTATTATGTTTCTTTTTACTATTATTGCCTTTTAACTATGAAAAGTAATAGACACTCTACTAAATATGTGATGATTTCTAAATATAAATTTCTTTTAATTCATACCTTACATAGTGCTAAGGAATTCCAGTAAAAAGACACAAGTAGCTAATTTTCCATAGAGATGATAAAGTCCAAATTTAGTTTTACACATTAACATATTCAAACACCTCAAAAAACTGTTGCATTATAATAATTTAATGTGTAACAGTAAAAGAGACCTTTAGATACAAATTAGTTAATTCAGTTTCTTTTTTTTTTTAAGATTTTATTTATTTATTTATTTGAGAGAGAGAAAGAGGAGAGCACAAGTTGGGGAGGAACAGAGAGAGAGAGGGAGAAGCAGACTCCCCAGTGAGCAGGGAGCCCGACGTGGGGCTCGAGCCCATGACCCTGAGATCATGACCTGAGCCAGAATCAACCAACTGAGCCACCTAGGTGCCCTTAATTCCGTTTCAATCACAGAATGATGCACATTTCCTGCTGCCTGAGAACAATCAGATGATGGCGGCAATGGGTAAGCGGTTTACTAATTCTCTCACATTGGTCCAGGGACCACATACAAGTTAGATATCCCGGTTTGGGTGCATTTGAAATAATTCTAACTATATATGTGCCTGTCTAAATCCAAATACTTACAGGGCCAGTCATAGAACATAAACATGTACAGTGGGTAGACCCATATGATAACAAAGAACGGTGGAGGTTAAAACACAACTAGAGCACATGCCCGACCTGAAGTTTTTCAAGTTCAAAAATTAAAAAAAAAAAAATTCCCACTCTGTCACATGTTTAAAACATATTTTGAGTCAGATTCTTTCCTTGGGCCTGAGACCCCTGATCTAAATCTCTCAAATAACAATCGCCAACTTGAGTAAGCAAACTGTTTTTTAGAAATAAAAGGAACAAAGGAAAAAACTGACAGATTTAACGACCAAAATTTCACAACGTCTATGTGAAAATGTATTCTCCCTCATACACAACATGAGTGTCAGCAGAGCTTAACATAAGCTCTAGTCTGACACCAAACTCTTAGACACTGTCACCAGCATTTCCTTCTCCGTATTTATTCTTTTCTTCCTTATTAAAAAAAATCCAAAATGTTGTTCTAGGTGGCAGTGTATCCAGCTAGGATTGTTAACTGGCTACCGACATGGTCCATATAACGATATATATGTGGAGGTTCTTGTGGGGGCTTCCAGAGATACTCTTTACAATGGGACAGACGCAGGAGGCAGAGGCTTCTGCACTTTCTTCTTGCCTGGAATAGGACTGTTAGAGGTGGGACAACCATCATGTGACTACAATGCAATCAACATGAAGATTAAAGTCAAATACATCTGATGATGGACAGAAAGACAGAAGAGATCCCTAGCCCTGGGCTGCTCACCTCAGCATTTCTTACATCCAGGAGAAAAAGCCAGTATATACCCTGTTCAGCCACTGCAGTGACCGCTCTGTTATATGTAACCAAATGTAATCCCTAACACACACCAATGGGAAAGAGACAAACTTCTCGGAAAAACTCTGCACACCATTATCGTAGAAAGTCCCTTATATATGCTATCATGATTTCTTTTAACTTCTTCAAATAAGAGAGGGAATGTGGAAATAACTATGTATTTCTTTACAGAGTCAACACAGACTGACTGGATCCTGAAACATCATCCCTAGAAAACATACCTAGGACGACATATAGACTGAGACAATGGAAGTTTCCGTTGCTGTGTACGACATTTATTAGATTCTTGACGGACAGAATACTAATATTCCTATTGGTAAGGGCCTCCAACGTTTACCTCCTGAAAATAAGATTCTATCAGTTTCCTGAGGTAATTAAGAGAGTGAGTTGTGGAGACAGATCTAGATTAGATCCCCACCCCATCTCTGTGGTACTCAGTAGGGCTGTTCCAAGCACGCCAGTCCTCCATCTTTGAAATTAGGTCGGCCATATCACTTGCTTTGGTTAATGAAATGTGAGCATGAATACTGTGTGTCACCTCTGGACAGAAGCTTTAAAGGAATGTATGACTCACCACCTCCCTTTATGCCTTCCTTGATGGAGGGAGAATGACATATTTAGACGGTGCCTCCACCAGCCTGGGCCCCTAAGTGACTGCAGCAAGCACAACCACACCCAGCCCCACGCCAGCCCAGCCCCGGCGATCCCACAGCACAGCCAATGTGACAGGCACATAAACCTCTGCCGTGTTACGCCATTCTGATTTCGCAGCCGCAGCTAGCCTATCTTGACGGGTGTGATCATTACTAGCTACGTGTTCCCAGGTAAGTCATGTAACTTCTCCCTGCCATTTTCTGAGGGAAATAATGTCAGCCTTAAAGGGTCATTATTAGGTTACACTAAGGGGATAAGCGCACCACGTGATAATAAATGACAATGCTTCTGTATAAACTAACAACATCATATTTGAGGCAATGTGAAGCTACAGGAGAAACAGACTGGTTCAGAGGAACAATGAAAATCCAAAATCTTCCACTTTCAAAATAAGTTCATTTCTAAAAGTTTATTTGGGGGGGAATCAGTGTTTTGTAAATCCTTTGTCTGCAGGTATAAAGTGACAGTTCTCAAGGGACCCTTACTGACCAGCTACTGTTGTCGAGCAGAGAGCTAAGGCACTTTGGCTGTGCACAAAGCTTTACCCCATCTACCTATACAGGCTCATAAGATAAACCTCCTAAGTAGAAAAGGTTCTATTACAAAAAAAGATCCCTAAGTTCAAGACTTCCAAGGTGTGGGCGCCTGGGTGGCTCAGTCGGTTGAGCGACTGCCTTCGGCTCAGGTCACGATCCCAGGGTCCTGGGATCGAGTCCCACATCAGGCTCCCTGCTCTGCGGGGAGCCTGCTTCTCCCTCTCCCACTCTCCCTGCTTGTGTTCCCTCTCTCGCTGTGTCTCTCTCTGTCAAATAAATAAAATCTTTAAAAAAAAAAAAAGACTTCCAAGGTGTGAAAAGCCCTGGTAAATATTACAATAGCTGAATGAAAATCACCAATCTTCAGTTAAAAACTGTTGTGAATTTATTGGCAAGAATTGGAGAGACAAGGAAGAACAAGGGGATTAATTCTCCTTGAGTTCCTGGTGTCAGGCAATTAACACACATTATTCCACTCAATTCTCACAATAGTACTAAGAGGTAACTATTTTTGGTACATTATAGATAAGTAAACATGCACAAGGAGATTATATGAATTGCTCACGGGCAAAAAATGATGGATGATAAGTGACGGGGTTTAATTCAAACCTGCTTCAAAGCTCACCCTGAGCTACTGTGAGTGTTTGAAAAGCTGCTAGCTTTTAGCTTTTTTCATAAAGGACAAGGATGAATCAGCAGACTAAGAAGGCTATTCCATGCCAAGTTCTTTATTTTGAGGAGCCCTACCTACCAGGATAGAATAAAGCCAGATGAAAAATTACTACTCTGCCCCATTGCCTTACCATTTCATTAGGAGGCCCCTAATAAAGGGTTACTGGGGGAAACATGTATGTCATAGCTTTCCTCCTCAGGAAAGAGAGAAAACACCTACATTCAGAACAGACGGTAATTGTATTTCTCAAGGGAATGAACTGATATATTTTTTTAAATTGTAGCTAAATTCGAACAGGCTGGACTTGGGATTCCCCCACTGAGAAAGCTAACTTTTTTCTGCCAGCTATAATAATAAGCAACTTGGGATGTTCCATTATGCATTTCTTCTGCTCATGCTCCAGCCAAGAATCTTATCAGCACCTCCCAAATCACACATTGTCAAACACATTTTTTCGTCTCCTGGCCACTGAAGTATGACTACTCCTGGTGATCAAAGTAAACAGAAAGAAAACTGTAGGACCTCACTATTACTTTGGGATTTCGTGTGCCATTTGACCCACAGACAACAGTAACAAAAGCTGAAGACAGGATGGATCCTGTTGCCATTCTGTATCTTGAACTTTGCCTGTTGTTGGATATTATACTCAGAGCATACGATAAGCTTCCTGCTGGAATGGTACATTAACTAATACCAGAATCACGGATCTTATGAAACTGGAAGGAAGGAGCAGTAGGATCATTGGAAGCAGTAGTACAAAAATGATCAAAACCCCTAGCCCTATTGTATTACAACGACATTATTAAATCACCACCACTACCAACGTTAAAGCTTCTGTTCAGAATTGAAGTAAAGATCCTATTCCAATGTAGAAATAAGAGATGTAGGTCCATAGACGATTCTTTTCAGAACCCCAAAGAAGGAAAGGAAATAAAGTTTCAAATCCACAGCCAAAGAATATTACATTTTTCCCTCAAGATTTGAGCTTTTAATGGGTCCTTGGTCTGATGTCAGCTGATCATTGAGTTTTAAATCAACGAAAAGGAAAATACAGAGACTGTATAGAAAGCAAGTTTAAATAATAGCGCTCAGTTTCATCTTTCTTTTAAGATGCCTAAAAAGCGTATATTACTTTTGCCCAAGAACATATAAACAAAATAGAAAAACAAGTACAGGGGTATATAAAGTGCTATGTTGACAGCTAGATACATGGTAACAGGTGATAAGGTTAGAGCAGAGGGAGAAAAGTCAGAAAACACTGTCTGGTCATTTGGGAGAAAGATGTATGGTCCCTCAAGAAATTTTTTTCTTTCTCAAAGGAGAGAGAACAGAGAAAGAGAAATTGCCTAGACCCAAAACGAAGTTTACTTACACAGATACACACACAAAAAAGCCTACTCATGAAAGCCTACTTCTTTCAAAAGAAGAAAAGCCTCCAACTCTGACATTTCCCATAGCTTAGGGTAGGGGGAGAGGGTAAAGGCAATTCAAGGCTTGCTTCTGGCATTCTTTAACTCTCCCTGCTCTGGACGTCTTTGGTTCTTTTTCTTGGTAACCAATCCAGTTACTCTGACCTGAGCTTTTGTCCATTACTGAAATTTCCTTCATGGCTACGGCATCCTCTTATCATAGTACCCACAGCATATAATGAGAGACAGAAAGAAGGCAGGAATGAGGGGCGCCTGGGTGGCTCAGTTGTTAAGTGTCTGCCTTCGGCTCGGGTCATGGTCCCGGGGTCCTGGGATCGAGCCCCACATCGGGCTCCCTGCTCTGTGGGAAGCCTGCTTCTCCCTCTCCCACTCCCCCTGCTTGTGTTCCCTCTCTCGCTGTGTCTCTCTCTCTCAAATAAATAAATAAAATCTTTAAAAAAAAAAAAAAAGGCAGGAATGAGAACTGTGTATGTGTGTGTATGTGTGTCAGAAAGAGGAGTTATAAAACCCCATTTGGTTACGCTCATTATCCTCTGACTGTTCTTCTTGAGTTTTATTTATCAAAAATCTTCAGTGATTAAAAAACTCTTAACAATTTAAGTCTTATTTTGCTGTTCTTTTTTCTTTTGCCTTAAGTGCAAAGTTTCCTACATGTTCCAAAAGACTGAGAAGTTTGTGAACTCAATGAACACTATTCTTTACTCATGATTATTAATTATATATGAAATCACCAGGCTTTCATGGAAATTAAATAAAATGATGATTGCAGGTTATAACCTTTTCATATTCTGCAGGCGTTTTTTCCTCAAAAAATTATCTTTTTTATACTCCAAGCCAAGTGGTGACTAAGATAAACAGAAAGTTGGTATACACCTTTTCAAATAAAACCACCAATGCAAAAAAAAAAAAAAAAAAAAAAGTTGCTGTAAAATATTCTTTTAATTAAAAAGAAAAAAGCTGTGTACAAGAAAACACAAAATGCTAAAAGGGAAATACAAAATAATAAAAGAAAAATCTAACCAAAAAACCCTGTATTTAATGTCGTGCTACTTAAAAGCAATTTAGCTTATTACAAATGCTGTTTGCACAGCTTAGAATGAATATTTAAATAATGCAATCTGGATGCTAAACTGACACAGAAAAACACCAGAGGGGGGAAGAAGGTTATAAATGCACACAAATTTCTATCACAGATACATTCAATTTGACACCTGAGCTGCAAATTTTACAAGCTATGCATTTCTAAATTTTCTAGATAAAATCTAACCAAACTGCTTACTTTAAAAAACTATGTAACTTTCCAAAGACATACCTCTTGTATGTAGTTATTTTTCTCCAAAATGGAAAGAGCTGCGGCTGCACATTCCAGTGTAGAAAGGCACCTGTTAGTTGGTTGCGTCCGAATTACATACTGGCTAGAAATGCTCGTTTTTAACTGCACCTGAAACGGAATAACAGGATGTAATTTTTGTTTTAAATTTAAAGTTATAAAGTCTGTGTTTTAACTCCTAATTCCCTTTCAAAATTGCCAGTTTAGAAGTATTAAATGTACTGGGGCATGCTCAATGGCTCAGTCGGGTAAGCGTCCAGCTCTTGATTTCGGCTCAGGTCATGATCTCAGGATCATGAGATTGAGCCCCATGTCAGGCTCCACACTCAGCAGGGAGTCTGCTTGAGATTCTCTCTCTCCCCCGCCTTCTGCCCCTCCCTCCCACCCCACTCACACTATCTCTCTCTCTCTCTAAAATAAATAAATCTTGGGGCGCCTGGGTGGCTCAGTCATTAAGCGTCTGCCTTCGGCTCAGGTCATGATCCCAGGGTCCTGGGATCGAGCCCCACGTCCGGCACCCTGTTAGCGGGAAGCCTGCTTCTTCCTCTCCCACTCGCCCTGCTTGTGTTCTCTCTCTCGCTGTCTCTGTCGAAAAATAAAAAATAAAATCTTTAAAAAAAATTAAATAAATAAAATAAAATAAAATAAAATAAATAAATCTTAAAAAAATGTATTAAATGTGTCAATATCTTCCATACATAATATCCTTCGGTTATTGTTACTGTTAGTCAAAGAGGACAATTATACATATATCTGACATTGAAAATATATGCAGAATACATGCAAATTCCTACACATCATAAGTAAAAAGACTAATAACCCCTTCCCAGCGGGCACAAACATGAAAAGACACCTCATAAAAGAAAATATAAGAAAGGCAAATAGGCACATATAAGAGTGCTTAACATGACTGAATGCAAATTAAAATCACAATGAGATAACATTTCACACTCCCTAGAACAGTTAAAATCAAAAAGACTACCACCACCAAATGGAGAGAATATGGAGCAAAGGAAACCCTCAGACACTGCAGTGGAAGTGAAAAGAATTTAATCACTTTGGAGAATTGACAGTTGGTTTTCTTGTTTGTTTGTTTTTTAATGGTTTAGTCTTCCATCATTTCTTAATATAAACTGACAGGTGTATGTCTGCATGGGGGCAAGTGATTGAGACCTGCTAAATGGCACCGAGTTGGACATGAGAAAGGCAAAAGAAAATCAAATGTCAACATTCTGGCCTTTTGATTCCTATTTTAATTAAATGAAACTCAAGTAATCTTACACTCATAAAGCCATATTCCTAGTCCACAGTCTTTATAGTATCACAGTTAAAAATGTGTGGGTAGATGAGAATTTCAGTTTTTATTCATAAATACATAAGCAAGTGGAATGAAGTAGTGGTGTCTAAGTCTTAACACATAGCAACTTAATAAAATCAGGTGTTCTCTCTCATTTTCTAATATCTCTGAAGTTCCATGAGTCTCTCATTCCTTTAAAGCATTAAAACTCTCCCATCCATGGAACCTTGTCCCTCAGTCCCCTTCTTACTTTCTTTTCTTTTTTTTTTTAAGATTTTATTTATTTATTTGTCAGAGAGAGAGAGAGAGAACACAAGCAGGGGAAGCGGCAGGCAGAAGGAGAAGCAGGTTCCCCACTGAGCAGGGAGCCCGATGTGGGACTCAATCCCAGGACCCTGGGATCATGACCTGAGCCGAAGGCAGACACTTAACCGACTCAGCCACCCAGGTGCCCCTCTTCCTTTGTTTCTTATGCAGTCCCCCCATGATGAGAAATATGCTTCTTCTACTCTGAATGCATTTTGTTTAAAGAATTCCCTACAACTTGTATCCTTGCTATCCTCAGAAAGAGGAAGGGGGGGAAAGGGGGAGGATGGGAGAGAGAGGAAGGGAGAAGAGCAAAGCAGGCATCATAAAAGATTTACTACAGAATGTATTTAGGTTTGGAAAACATCCTTTAAAGCATACTTAATAATGTTTTAGAAATAATCATATTAAAATTATTCTGCATTTCTACCAATGTAAAAGACGGAAAATAGTTGCAGGGAGGGAAAGAGATGGAGGAAAACGGTTCAGAAACGTGTAATGATAAAAAGAAAGCCTACAATTACATAACTGTAGGAATAATTCATAATGTTGATTAACTGTAATTACTAACAGCTTTGATATGGCATCAGGTCAACTAGAAAACAGAGTACAACAAGCTACTGCTTTCAGCACTCAAGTCCATCACTGGAGGAATTGATAATAAATATCTGATTACAACTAAAACTCAGGGCCCGATCTCACAATACTGAGATCACGATATGAGCTGAAAACAAGAGTCAGAGGCTTAACTGATGGTGCCACCCAGGCTCCCCGGAACAAATTTGATTTTTAAAAAAGAAGTTTTTAAAAAGACAAAATAAAATAATATTTAAAAAATAAAAAAAGTTTGATACTTCAGTGAGGAGTTTTACTTCTTACTGTGGCCCACAAGGCTGTATGAAATCTCAAAACTTTGAAATTTACCAAATGTTAGAAGACTTCAGAATGTCCTTCACAAATCATCTCTCCAGGATTTATCCAGTAACCAGATATACTAAAGGCGTAAATAACTAAGACCTGTCATATTATCAACATACATGTTATTAGAGCATGTTAATGCAATCTTCTATTATGTTTTTGTGCTGTATCACCTTCATCACTGCTGATTCGGTGAGTAAGTGAGCAAGAACAAAAAGAAATCCTGTTGATCCATCTTCTTGAGAAGCCACAAGCATCATAATAAATAATTTGTCAGAAAGTGCCTTGTCTAGGGGCGCCTGGGTGGCTCAGATGATTAAGCGTCTGCCTTCGGCTCAGGTCATGATCCCAGGGTCCTGGGATGGAGTCCCGCATTGGGCTCCCTGCTAGGCGGGGAGCCTGCTTCTCCCTCTGCCTCTGCCTCTCTCTCTCTCTCTCTCTGACTCTCATGAATAAATAAATAAAACATTAAAAAAAAAGAAAGTGCCTTGTCTTAAAAGTTCAGGAAAATCCAAGGCAAAAATAACCATTCTAATAAAAGAAAAAATTAATATCTGACTAAAGTATGAGGCTCTATTGAAAGACCAGGGTTATTATATCAAACCTGACAATAGCTAATCAATTAATCTCAATCAAGTCCTTTCACTTCTCAGTTCCTTCTCACCTATAAAAATCATATAGATGGACCTGATGGTGTTAAAACATTTTAGCAATCAATCCTAAGATTATATGTAATATAATTAACTATAATTATATATCATAACATAATTAAAATATCATGTAACTGTTATAATATGGACATATAATTATTATATAGAAACTTAATTTCCAAATATTAGAAGTCATGATGACTCAAAGAATGCTTCAGTAATTTTGATCTCTTTGGAAGCTGGTTCTCTTTGGGTTTGTTTGACTGCTCTTGATGTAACTTCTTTAGGAACAGGAAAATCAGTGGTTGGTTTAGAATTCTACTGGTATGAATTGTGAGCCTATAAGATAACTCCCATTTTAGAAACAGCCAACTCTTCCAGGTCTTATTTCTAGATTTAGCATCAGATTCAAATGATTCTCTGAATTGGCTAAAATTTGAATTCCTGGAAACTTTTGTTATAAGGCCTTCCTTTCTTCTTTTCCATTAAATCTTAAATATATCTTTAACATACAAGAATACCAGGTAATAGCCTGATGATGATGATCGCTGTTAGATGCCTTTAAAAGGGGCTTTTTCAAATGTCTCCTTCCTAGCGTATCTTTAGCTGTTTTTGTCACAAGTGACATGCCATTAAAAATCTGGGTGACATAGCATGTATGTACAGTGGTTTAGTAATGGCATTTAGGGCCACAAAATAAGTAAATATCCAAGGCAAGAAGATGCCATGGCTTGTCTGCATAATATAACATAAGCATTTTTAAATAATTTACTGTAACATAAATTAGTCAATTCTTTTGTCAAACAAAATAAACTAAAAAGAGACCTCAAAATTAAAATTTTAATACATACCTCCAGGTCCCACAAATGTTTTATTTTTATAATTTGATTGCAATTACTTGTTATCTGTACTCGGGCTATTTTAAGCCAAGTTTCGTTACTATATAAAACTATTGTGCTTCTCAGTTATTAAGAATCACAAGACTTTCTAATCACTTGATCGGCCTCCTTGTTACAGGTTTCTAGGAAAAGCAATCTACTTTATAGTTGTTTCCTGAAACAACTCTCGTCTAGAATAGGCTGAAATAAACTCCCTTTCAGTAGCATCCTGAAGTCTTCACCACTGGAAGACACACATAAAAACCCTCCTTTCTTCAGCAGCCTTTCTTCTATGACCTTCCAGAAGCAAGATTCATCATCTGAGCCTGCGAGTGAACCTCTGAAAGAGAGGCACTAAATCTTTTCTCCTCGCCTCAATCTTTCAATCCCCTTCATTCCTTTCATTCCCTCAGTTTAATTCAACAGTATGATTTAATAGTGGTAAGAGTCTAACTTTGGCTTCAGACAGTTGCCAGTTCTAACACAGACTTAGCCACTTATGTTCAAACTTTCATGCACTCACTGGACACTAAATGCCCTTCCAGATAATGCGCACGTATTGTCACTTTTAATACTCACAGGGACCCTATGAAGTAAGTACTGTTATGATCTCCATTGTACTGAGGACAAAACGAACGCTCAGAGGGTGAAGTAACTAACTCAAGGTTCTAAAATCAGGTATGGAAAAGCAGACACACGAATCTATAAAGTCTTATTCAAAGAGCAGAACTCTATCACCAAGCTAATAATTAAAGGTTAGGCAAACCTCAACACATGAAACAAATAAAAACAAAGCTATTCTTGTGGAAAGCAAAACTGAGGCACCCCTCAAGAATTTTAGGGTTCTTCTGAACATGGTTTTAAAATAATGATATAAAAGAAAGGGTCTTCTCCTACACAAGTATAAAGTTACTCATAAATAACAGCATCCATGCCTTGCTCCAACCCTGCCACACTCTGAAGCCTGCAAAATTCTTTCTTTCTTTTTTTTAATTTAAATTCAATTAGCCAATATATAGTACATCATTAGTTTCAGATGTAGTGTTCAATAATTCATCAGTC